ACAGACAGCAACAATGAAGGAAGAGAAGTCTACAAATGTTTCAAAATTACTGTGTAACTTTATTGATAAGATGTAAATAAAGTCATTCAGAGTGGTTAATATTCTTTAAAGTGGTGGTGATAGAAACCAGAGGTCTTGAGGTCCACAGTATACATATAGCCATTTTATTTACTATCCAAAACAATCAGTGAACCTCGTTGTGTCTTCTGAGTTTTATATGTAATGCTGACAGTGGTAAAATAGTTATTAAAGGAGCACTATACGATTCTGGAGAACGACTGTTGATACTTGAACTTAACAAACACACCCCTCCCTTCAGTGCTCCTTTAGAAGCTCCGCCCAAAATTCACGGACATGCAATGTTGAAGCCAACACGCTTTTTTTTAGATTTTTGTGGCCATAAAACCCTTCACAAATGTTGTACACACAAATACCGTGATAAAACGTTAGAGTGAACAATGACACAGGGACGTTAGCTAGGCTGTGGGTCAAGCTGCTATATTAATGTTTTAAACGTCGTATATCTCGTTTAATCATAGTAGGAAAAATAGTGGTAAAATAGTCAAGTTAAAAAGAGGTTTAAAAAATATAACCATTTTCCTTAGGGACTATTTTACCTTACTACTCCCTGCATGGACCTCTCCACCATAAATACACATAAAAAATTAGTTTTAGACTAAACTTTTCTCAAAACTATCATTAAACAATGTCTCAGGTGGCAGGCAATGTATTCAGAATAATTTTATGTAATAACTTTCTGTGAGGGAACTTTAAGTGGCATTAAATTAAAAAAATAGGTTTCTTTGGGTACTATTCGGCCACATAATGCCTTGCCTGTATCACTCCACCCTGCATGTATTTAAAAAAATACATTTTAAGCCAAAACCCCATTTCGAAACTACAATAAAGCAATGTTAAAAGCAACACTCATCATATCGGAAGCCATTTCCTGTAGTATCTTTCTGTGAGGGAACTTTTAGATGATTTTAAATGCTTTGGACGTCTGGTTCCTATCACCACCACTGTGAACAATGTTGATTCTATTTTCATAATTTTGTTTCTCCAGAATGGAGCATTTCACACCAAATAATTCAATTATTTTGTTTACATGTTAGTGATTTAAATGTTTAAAAATTCGGTGGAAGCTCCCTTTAACCACTACTCTAAAACCCATAATGCCCTTGTGCAGAATTTAGGAATACAGGAAATACCTGGGCAGTCGAAAAGTATGTAATCATCCTCAACATGGCCAAGGCTCTCCTCCAGCCAGTCAAAGTTATTAGCAAAATACTCCATGCAGAACACGAGTCCTCCATTCGGACCAAACCTCAGCGTGTCATCCTCCATCACATCGTCCACCTGGATCAGCTCTCGGATATCTGTCCGATTAAGAGAACATGAATCACAGCATTTAAGGTATCAACATTTGGATACAAGTAATGAATTCATTCTATTGATCTGTATATCACAGATGTTTTATGCCGGCCTTACACCAAACGACTTTTCAAGCGATTTCACTGTCACAGACAAATATCCAGTGTCAGAATAAAATCATGAGAGTCTTGTTAGAGTTGCGCTCGCGTCATCACAATCGTTTAGTGTGAGGTGGTCAGGACGGCAGTCTTAGGTCAGTCTTTTTCTTGTATTGATGCTACGATAAAATCATCCGTGTTTGATATTATCATAAGCTTTAAGTCTTGGATCATGCAAATAGTAACATGCCAGAGCTGGCGCAGAGCGAGCGGGCGCATGCGCGCAGCACATGAGAGAGAGAGAGAGAGAGAGAGAGAGAGAGAGAGAGAGAGAGAGAGAGAGAGAGAGAGAGAATGCATGCGTGAGAGCCTGAAATCTCTGTAAAAAAGGCAAATCTGCTCAACTTTAAAACAAAACTGATATTAATCTAAAAATTTAAGCTGGCTGTTTTAATATTTGAAGTTCACTGAGCCCGTAATAGTGATGTAAGGAAACATGCGGAGGACTTTAAGAAAGGCATTACTGAAGAAGCATTTTTTGGCTCTCTGTTACGGTGGTTTCTTATTTTGTTTGTTAGTTTTTTATGGTTTAGTTCATAATATCCAACAAACAATGCTGAGTCGCTGCATGTTTTGTTGATGTGTAAATCTTTATGTTAAATAAAAAAGGAACTGCACAGGTTAATTAAATAAAAATACTGGGTGATGATCTGCCAGAGTATACAGTTCTTCAGTGAACTGAGATGAGCCCCAGATCTTTACATGCCCACTTAACGTATCTTTCCATTTGTAACACTATAGAGTGGAGAAGGAAAAGTGTTTATCTGCTTGTAAATTGATGGTGGAAAATGATGGGAAATGATCTCCAAAATCTAGTTGCAGTCTAGCAAACAGTGACCCTGATAGATCCCAGGCTTGGCAAAATCATAGTCTGTGACTAAAAACTCTGTGATTGTCTTTAGGTGTGAGAGGGTGTCAGACTTTAGCCTTTTCAAAGTCTTTTTAAAGTCTTCTAGTGTGTGGTTAGCATTAAACATCACATTTACTACTCCCAGCATTGGACTACACTGCTTTTCAAAGACACAACTGATATGAGCATGTCCCACATCTCTAGACCCCTGCTGCACTGGACACTCTTACCTGCCATTACTGGGTAGTCAAAGTGTTCTGCGGCTGGGTCCAAGTTCACCACCTGCACGGAGCGGCCGATGGCTTCAGCGTGCTGTATCATAGTGGAGCAGTACGTGCTCTGCAAAGATATAAAGGAGTTCACGATCAAAAAGTGCAGAAATGACACAATCCTGAAGTATTTTTAAACTAATATTAAGCCAATTTTGTCTTAAAGGGGAAATCCACCAGTTTTTCGAAATTTCTACATAATCCAGTGGTTCAGATGTGAGCAAAGTCATTCAGAGTGGTTTGATGTGAAATGTGATGTGATGTGATTCAGTGTGGAGAAACTTGTCGATTCAGAGTTCGTTACAATGGTGGTGATGGGAACCAGAGGTCCACCAATGAATCTACACGTGTCTTTTGAGTTTTTATATGTAATGTTGATGATGGTAAAATAGTGCTACGCCTATAAAACGTTTACTTTGGGGATTATTTTGCCTGTACCTCTTCAACATTCGCAGAAAATCTTAAAGATATAAAAACCTTATATCGTAAAACAATGTCTCAGGCATGAGGCAGCGCATTTGTAAACAAGTTGATGTAATACCTTTCTGTGAGGGAGCTTTAGGAAGCATGTAAAGCTTCAGACGTCTGGTTCCTATCACCACCACTTAACATTTCTGAGTCAGTGTTTCTAGAACTTAACAATTCATATCAAACCACCCTGAATTAATTTGTTTACACCTTTATTATAGCATTATGCATTAATTAAAAAAAAATCCCCTTTAAATATGTTCTAAAATAAGATTATCACACAATTACCATTACCATAATATCACAATATAAGGCAGAACTGTCTGTCATCATGATGAGAGGTAACTGCAACTTATCTTACTTTAGATATTTTACAAGAAACACAAAATTAGATAGACAAAAGTTAGTGAGACAAGCTAAACAAGATAAAGAGGACCTGGCTTCTTACTCGCCAGCAATTTTTCCGTTCCACCTTAAATGATGTAGTAACTGCTACACAATTTAAGGTGGGACGGGAAAATTCGAACAAGAATGCTGATTTCAGCTTGGTGTAAAGAGGCTGGCTGGTGAATAATAAAAACAACAGAAATAATATAAATAATATGAATAACAGAAACTAACCTTTCCGCTCCCAGCCGGTCCCATCACGAGCTGTGCGTAGCGGGGCATTATGGCCAACTTTACAACCTCTAACGTGTCTCTGAACTGACCGTGTTTCACTTTAAATCTATGTATTCATCTTTAAAAACACACTCAAATACATAACGCACACCAACACTGCCCCACTGCTTCCATGCTGCGTTCTGGACAGTCAAATCTACGGATGCCGAGTAGGGTCGTGTGGTGAAAAGTGCTCAGATCGCCCCCTGCTGTTCGCTTTCCAAGCGCGATTTTAGTTTTTTGTAAAATGGACTACAAAGTCACCACACATCCCATGGAGCTGACTGGCACGACCCATGGGACTTGTAGTTCGATTTTACTTCACGCCCCAGCGAGGGTTGAAGTACTTGTTTTGTTCATTCCTGTTTTGTTTTTGGAAGCATAAAAAGTATGATTGTGTATATTTTATCATATTTTCATATATTTTATGTTATTTATATTTTTACATGTTTTGCTTCAGGATTGATTTTGGACAAATGCTACAAAATTGCAAACGTGAGTTTTAAGGGTCACAATTTGTTTCCCATTGTGATATAAACAAAATTAAATTTTATAATTTCATTTTTATTTCATAATATCATATTATAACACACAAAGATATGTATACAAACACATTTGATAAAAATAAATTATTGTAATGTTAAATTAGTATTCCTTGCTCCAAAACTCCTGATTTAGCTCATAAGGGCCTTGGTAATCGCTTGATGAGCTGAATTAGCTCTGCTCTGAGAAAATTGGGCCGTTTTGTGAATAATACTAACAAAAGGCGGTGAAAATGTGCGTCTTTTATTAACTTGTTATAATTTAGCATATGATTCTTTGGAATGTTGCTAAATTTGCTCCAAAACAGAAGCCATCAGAAAGCAGACAGTGTTGTTTGACATACCGTGAAATTCAGATTTTTTTTTTCACCACTAATGACGCCACAGTTTCCTGCGTGGACTGCTGGGATATGTAGTTTTAGTGGCCTTTGGTCAAAAGTCGCAGTAAATGGAGTATAACTGTTGCAATTTTGCATCAGAGGGTCTCTGAGAGTTAACCCATACCTATACAATTACACAGCTCAGCAAAAATATGCTTGTTAATCCTCCAACAAGCATTTCCCTATGGCGAAATGAGTGGTGGTTAATGTTCGACCGCAACCAGCAGATGGCGTAGTTCTGCACGTTCTCTCCCCATAGAAAAGAAGACGTGCTCGCAGCGTCATCCTGATAGCCTCACTGTAACTTTAGTCTCAGCCAGTCTGCACAAGTCAGCCACACATAGTGCTTGTTCTGTTTCAAGAATGACTTGACATGGGGAAGCAAGGCAAACTCGCTGAGAGCAGATATAAAGAATGGCATCAGAGACCCCCTGTGAATCCTCCTCTACCGTCGAGGTGAGTTACTGTAAGGCAGCACTGGATGTGGTGGACTTCTATTACTGTATTTTCTTTAATCAAATTATTGTGTGATTTGAACAGGTCTTCAGGATTCACTCGTGTAAGATTTGGTAAGTTGAATTAGTCACTTTCTACAGTAAGTATAACCTGGTAGTTTCACCATACTTAGGAGGTCCTGGAAATCAACCACCCTGCAGAGTTTAGCTCCAACCCTTATCTAAGCACACTTTATCCAGGTGATGAAGGCCTTTAGGGGCATCTGAATGTTAGAGCCACCTCTGCAGGGTGGTAGACCTCCAGGACCAGGATTGGGCACCCCTGCTTTACCTTATAGATCCTTCTCACTTCAATCTTATCTAGCTATACTAAATGTCCAAAAGTATGCAGACACCTTTTGTAATTAGTGCACTTACTTTGAGGTGCACCCACTGCTGACACAGCATCGACCAATGTAATGAGATGCACTGAAGCAGCCGCACGTGAGCCTAAGGTCACCATGCCCAATGCTAAGAGTCAGCTGGAGGGGTATAAAGCCCCCCAGCACTGGACTGGGGAGCAGTGGAGCTGTGTTCTCTGGAGTGATGGAGCTCCATCCAATATCTTTGGTATGAGATGGAGTGATCCAGAACTGACCATCCAACATCAGTACCTGACCTCGCTAATGCTCTTGGGGCTGAATGCAATCACATCCTCACAGCAATGTTCCAACATGTAGTGTAAAGCCTTCCCAGAAGCGTAGAGGCTGTTACTGCAGCAAAGGAGGACAAACTCCCTATTAATACAGTTCATTTAAAAAAAAATGCTAGATGCCTACAAACTTTTGGATGTTCTTATTACACCCTTATTATGTAACATATTTTTAGGGCAGGCTGTGATTCTTCTGTGGTCATTCTCTAATTTCTGTTTACATTCACATTGTGTATTTTTCACTTTTTTACACACTCAGGTGAGTAGTAACCAGTTACACTTACTCTTAAGTAAACATTAGTGGATTTGTGCTCTGAGTGTTTTCAAATGCTGATCTACTCCAGTATATTAGTAACAGTGATCTGCTTTTCAATTAGTAATGATTTAGTCATTCATATTTAGCTTCTGTTTGCTTTTTTGTGCTTAATTTCATCATCTCTGCATAGACCAGTTTGGCTTCGCATCTCTATTTTTGTCATTTTACAGTTTTTGACATAATTTGAAAGTACCCATTGTCCTTTACATTGTGTGTAAATTTCATGATGAATGGACCAAAAGAAATGACCCAAAATTACTTGGAAAAAAGTCTGGTTCCATTGACTCACATTAAAAGTAGATCTTTTTTCGTTCTCCTGTAAAGTTACCATTTTGGAGATACGAGGTTTTATTCCGACAACAGCGATATGTTGTGTTTTGGATGCTGGTATGCTGGTCATGACCACCCTGGGTGACCAGCTAAACCAACACGAGGTCAGCGGTAACCATGCTGAGCTGTTTTTTCAGAGAGGATGCTATGCTGGTCTGCTTTGAGCTTCTAATCGTACTTCTACTCGAGTTTTTATTTCTAGAAAGGAAATTTTTACTCATTTTACTCAGATGTAACAGTACTTTTACTTGAGTATGGGTTTAGGCCACACTACACACCTCTGGAGAAACTATGTTTGTACATGCAAAGAGGTTTTTATACTTACAATGTGAAATTCCCTCACCTTAAATTCAGGAGAGTACAGCTGTATCTGTCTTGCAACCTGATAAGTTTTTTCCACACGGGTACAGTGGTGTGTCTTATCGGGGCGAGCTGTAGAAACATTACACCTGCAATACACAGAGAAACCAGAGTCTCCTCTGTGTGCTGACCTGATTGAATAAAACCCTTATAAAAGTCTTTAACATCCTAAAAGGTTTAAAAACAGTGGGGGTCTCTTATTTATGGAAACTTTTATTTAATATAATTATAAGTCTCGTTATATTCAAACTCTACAAGTATTGTAGCAATACTCTTATTTCATTGTTGAGTTTGAATGTATTGTATGTTTGAAAACAAGGGGTTAACAAGGGGTTAAATGCCCAGTGTAAAATTATCCAACCTTTTTTTTTTCTCTGTGGTATCTAGGCAGATCCAGCTCTCTCATTGGTTAGGACTTCAGGGGCTCAACTGAAGGCTTAACTTGTCAGATTAACCCTTAACTTTATGTTCACAGAATCACCGGTCATGTTTTATTTTGCAATGAGGGAACAATTTTGTGAGAAAACGTCACTCTAGACCTTCTAGAAGACACTAGACCCGTCTTGAGCAGTAGCCTGACCAAGGCGTTTCAGTTGTTATAAACAGAAAACAGCAGCAGGAGCTCTATACCAGGACTCTAAAGGAGTTACTGTAAAAATGACACAAGGTAAAATATACATTAATGTCTGTTACAAGCTTCAAATCAAACACGGAATGTGTGTACAGTCTTCATATATAATCTAGAACGGCCAAAAAATGTTCATAAGATTCTATGTTATCTTAGTGCTAACATGATTTTAGGACAGGGGTGTCAAACTCAACCACTAAAAGGGCCCTATTAAAAAATCTCAGCAAATCTGTGAGCCAGCAGTTTTTATTTCATTTTTACTCAACATTTTGCCATCTGACCTGAATGGGCCATTATTTATTCAAAATATGCCAAAACTGCTGCAGCATAATAATGCCATAATAAGGCATTGAATACTAATTCTAATAAATGAATATTACTAATACATGAATATTAATTCTAAATAAAAATAAATTGTTTTAGGTAGTTTTTTTTAAACTGCCTATTTACTTGAACCACCAGGCATCTTTTTTTTGTGTAACTGGACTTGACTTGGCCCACGAAATTATTTCAATTTTCTATTATTATTAGCCTGAGATGCACTACACTATGTTGCAGTGCATGCTGGGGACTGTAGTGCATCTCAGGCTAATAATAATAATAGAAAATTTAAATAATTTCGCGGGCCAAGTCAAGTCCGTGATACAGTCCTAATTGGTGAAATTATTTAAATTTTCTATTATTATTATTAGCCTGAGATGCACTACAGGCCTTGTGTTTGACACATGGGTTTTAGAATCTCATAGGGGCGCTAGCAGAAATGATCATAACCGTAGAGATGTTTTTGTTTTTTTGTTTTTTTTTTGACAGTTATGGCTTGACCTGAAGCCTAGTCTCAGTTCACTACTGGGTAGAACATGAAAACATGCAAACAGCTGTAATTAAAGTGCTATAATTATGTAGCTATAATAATAATAAAAATAGGCCTCATTCACCAGCTGTTCACATTCTTTCTTAAAACCAACTTAATGCAGTTTTCACAAAGATTTTCACAAAGATTCTGACAAGGTGTGAACAGTTCTGCGTTTTAAGAACACGTCATGAATCTGACGTAGACTTTTTCTTCGGGCCTTTCTCAAGAACACAGAAAACTGTTGGTGAATGAGGCCCAATGATGATTATTAGTGCAAAATTAAAGGATGTGCATTGATATTGGATTTAAATTGAGATCAGCAGATATTTGCTTGAAAATTAGCACCATCAGACAGATGTTTAGATTTGACGGTATTTAAAGCCAATATTTAATGATATATTTTTTGAACTCCAGAAGAGCAGAATGTTTAGGTGACACTGGTCTACTGCACAAAAATGTCTGCATTTAATTCATTTTACTGCATTTGCAATCCTACAGAAATCAGTGTTATATTTCTCTGTAATGCCAATCCATTATTACATTTATAAATGTTCAGCGTCATCAGTATCTGCAGAGGAAAAATATCGGATATCGATGTATAACCCACTCACAATTCCTATATCAGTGCATCCCTAACAGAATTATTCTTGTTGTTATCTGTAGATTCCAGTGTGACCAAGAACCCAAATTATGAGCTAAAGAAACCCGAACGGCAGCCAGAACAGCCGCAGCACTTCAACACTATTCGTATCCCAGAAATGATGATGACCTCTCCATTTCTGCAGGTATTTCAACCAAACATAATGATTTTACAGACAAGCTAACGCCTTTAAAAAAACTTGGAGTGAATTCAACTATCAGCTGCAGTGGAGTTGGATTTGCCACTGAAAAAAATAATTAATCAACAATAATCATATAGAAAAATCATAGTCTCTGCTCATTTCTCAGCTTATTTCTCTTAATATAATATACATGGTTTGTAATAATGACAGATCAGATATAAATGACCGACTTTAACTGAGATTACAAAGAATATCGCTGCTGTCGGAAGAAAACTGACCATTTTTCAATTTTTCAGTTTTTGATGTAATTTGAAAATGTATGTTGCCCTTTACATTGGGTGTAAGTTTCATTAAGAATGGACCAAAAGAAATGGATCAAAATGACTTGGCAAAAATTCTGGTTCCATTGACTTACACTACAAGTGAAGTATGTTTTTTACTTCTCCTGTAAAGTTACCATTTTGGAGATATGAGGTTTTCTTCCGACAACTAAATAACAAATTCCAAGCCATGAAATGAAGTCCTGTACTTTCTCCCTTTCAGCACCCGAGCTTGACGCCAGGACAAAAGCACTATTTGTACACTGTGGCCGAAGCCTACAGCGAGGATCACGTGCGAAAGCTGATATGCCAACATTACCTGAACGTGTTACACAGATCCATCAGGACAGGTGCATGATCACCTAATCCCTCTAACACTGACACTGGTATTACTTGAACATGGTGACATTAATCACTTCATTAGCAACACGCCTGTCGACTGCTTGCATTCAGGTGTCAGTCACGCCAAGGACATGACTCTCAGCATCGACCCACTGCTAAGAACGCATTCACCAGACGTGGAGAGCAGCCCAGAGCAGCAGAAAAAGAGTTCTAATGGACAGAAACCAAAGGCATCAAGCAAAAAGAGACTTGTTCTACCTAAAATCAACAGCCACCGAAAAAGGTAACATGGATCTGACCCAAGATAATGCTTTATATGAATGTTAGTAGGTCTGCGGTTTCACTGTTGACGATTGTGTGACGATTACAGTTTGTCCTCAAGGTTTCCTCCAGAATCGAATGCAAGAAAATCAAAACCTCCAATGAGAAAGAGATACCATGCCTCAGGTAAGATCTTCTCAACAGGCTTTTGAAGGCACAGTACAGTACCACTGTTGACTTGCCAGTTTATCAGGTACAAAAGCACTGGATCTCCTAATTACCGAGTTCAGGTGTTTCATTGCTAACAGGTGGATAAAATTAAGCGCATAGCCATGCAGTCTCAATATACAAACACTGGCAGTAGAGGGTCGTACTGATGAGCTCAGTGTCTTTAAGCATGGCACTGTAATAAGATGCCGCCTCTGCCACAAGTCTGTGAAATTTCTGTCCTGCTAGATCTGCCCCTGTCAACTGTAAGTCGTGTAAAGCACTGCTATTTGAACTGGAGCAGTGGAAACATATTCTGTGTCTGATGGATGGATGGTTTGGCGAATGCCAGGAGAACGTTACCTGCCTGACTGCACTGTGTCAGCTGTGAAGTTTGGTGGAGGAGGGATGATGATATGGGGTTGTTTTTCAGGGGTTGGTCTAGAACCCTTAGATCCAGTGAAATCTTAATACTTCAGCACCAAGACATTTTGGACAATTGCACACTTCCAAATTTGTGGGAACAGTTTGGGGACAAACTTTTTCTGTTCCAGCATGACTGAGCCCCAGTGCACAAAGCAAGGTCCATGAAGTCATGGCTGGGTGAGTTTGGTGTGGAAGAACTTGACTGGCCCTCACAGAGCCCTGACCTCAACACCACTGAAAAATGCTCTTCTGGATGAATGGGCAAAAAATCCCACAGACACTCTCCAACATCTTGTAGAAAGCTTCCCAGAAGAGTGGAAGCTGTTACAGAAACCACTATAGGATCATCACTGACCAAATATTGTGTGGGTAGTGGCCCTAGTACAACTGTATCAGACACAGCAGCATTTACATTTTTTTTGCACTCCTTGGTCATTATTGGGTGGGAATAGACCACCAAACCAAAATTTATCAAGCCGACAGCAGTCTTGTGGTCAGAACTTGACCACTGAGGAGGGCTAACATAAATTGAGCATAAAAGCAAATGAGCTATATTCTTTAACTTGATACCTACAAGGTAGAGGTATTATATGGAGTGGACACTAAGTGCACATAGGATTTAAAACCCCATCACTAATGCTGTGCCTCATACTTGTACCAGTGCCACTGCTGTGTTGAGAATGACCCATTAACCAAATACCTGGTCAGCGGTGGTCCTCTGTTTGTCCTTTCCATTGACAGACAGGCTCATGAATTGTGCAGCAACAGATGGACTTCAGTTTGTAAGTGTAAGCCTACAAAGTGCATCTATATGGTAGGCGTTTCTGATAAAGCCATCAATTATATTATATATTTATATTATAATGTACCTAATAAACTGGCAACTTAGTGTATTTAAGAGGAATGCCACTAATTTTCAAAATTTCTGAATAATTTTATCGTTTTTGCAAACTTTTTATTTTTTTTCTTAGCAGTCAACATTCTCTGCATAACAATACCACAAAAGGAGAACTGGGGGTTTAAAAAAAGAACATTTCTATAAGAAATAGACAAAATATAAAAGTATTCAACATAAGCAGTGTGTCAATGTCTACCATGATTCTGTGGTTGAGGTGTTAAGTCATTCAGTTTATGTAAAATGGTTCGTTGTAGGGACTCAATGAACTTTACAGTGGTGGTGATGGGAACCAGTGGTCACAATGTCTACAACACAAACATAGACATTTTATTTACTATCTAAAACCACCAGTGAACCTACAGGAGTCTTCTGAATTATATATGTTGATGGTAAAATAGTAGGAAAACTTTTTTAAGGTACTACTTTGCCTTACAAGGTCTTGCATGTACCTCTACACCATGAAAGGATTAGAAAAGAAAAAAAGATGTCGGGCCGTATCACAGAAACTTCTTAAGTCTGAAATCTTATCCTATCTGCTCAGTCACCATGACAACTTTAGTTAGGACTGAATTTAGGACAGAGGCTATTACAGAACAACAGTTCTTTAACTCATAATCTTGTCCATTAACTCCAGATAAGAAAACTGTATTACAGAAACATCCTAACTAGACTAAACCTCCTAAATTCTGTCCTAACTTTAAGATGAACCCCAGATCTGTCTTAACGTCTGTTTTAACCGTCTGTTTCTATTGTTTAATGCAGTGACAGGCAGCATATTTCACTATAACTGGCATAATGACGCTACATTTATCTACATTGAAAACGGCGATTTGCCTTGAGTTTTGTTCTAACAGTGTTAACAGCTGTCTAACTAACTTGATTATGTGTTTCAGCTGTGCGTGTATGGTCGGTTGCTAGGTAACAGACATGACAGTTGATTGTCAACTTCAATCGAGCAAGTTACATTTCCTAACTTGAGATAAGAAAAGATGCTATAAGATAAGATTATTAAATTAAGATTTGCTTCTGTAATACGAATTTGTGAAAAATCTTATCTTGACCTGTCAGATCTTAAGTTAATCTTATTCTCCAGGGTATATTTTGGTTTTTCCATCTGAATTTACATGCCCAAATCGTAAGGCAAATTATTCAGTAACTGTATGAAATAGATGTAAATTTTTATTTTATTTATTTATTTTTTAGTAAAAGCTCCCCTCTAATTAACAGAACGTGTTTTATGACCACACATATCGCTATATGCTTACAATTTATTGCTGAAAGCCAAAACGCTCTTTGTGTTATTTTATAAAAATAATTTTTACAGAGCAGATCACTGAAGAGACGCCATCTGTTTATAGTTTATAGCCCAGATTTGTGGAAAAATGGGTCGACTTTCAGTAGAAAAAAAAAATTGAGTTCAGCTTCTTTTATTATAAGGGTTTAAAATTACATCACCCATCTATTAGACTGGAAAGAAGACAGTTACAGCTCTCATACGACCCCCACCTTTTGAATGTAGCTTATGAAATATGAAAGTTATATAGAAAATAGCGAACTGTGTTTTGGAACCATCGGTGGTCCCAAGGAGTTGAAAAGGTTAAGACAAAATGATAAGAACTTTCTGTAATACGGCCCCTGGTTCCTGTCACCGCCACTGTGCAGTTCTGACTTGGTACATTTTGTAGAAGAATTTCAGATCAGAAATGTTTTTTTGTTTTTTTTTAAATCTGGGGGATTCCCCGTACCCCTCAACTATGCCATGACCTAGTTGACTTCCCATGATGACTGACACAACATATGACGTTTGCTCTGATGTTCTGCACTGACGTTTTCAGGGCTGGTCCACTGGAAAGCAGAAGAGGACTCAGTGCTTTCTGAGATCAGCTCCCTGTCTCTTGAAAGTGAGGACGTTCAAGATTCAGTGCAGCACCATCATGTTAATACATATTCATGACATCAGTGACTGTTTGTGGATGTTTAAAGTTCTTAAGCAGGACAGCATTTAAAAAAATAAAGATTCAAGACTTTGACATTTAATGTGCCATGTGATTTTATTGTATGAAATATATAACATAGTTTGAATTAGGGCCCAGGAGCAGATAGAAGAGGCCTTGCAAAATGAATATGACATATAACATTATTAACATAAAAAGTGGCACAAGAATTTAGTCATGAAAGACAGGCAAATAATACGACATTATTGCATTCTAGACAACTATGTGCTGATAAAGAGAACACAAGCATATGCTGATGACATATAAACAGTATTATACACTTCTTTAAAATAGCAGAGCGTTATGGTACAGCATCTGCACTGGGCGTATTTCCGGGCTGTGGTCAAGGAGGAATGAGACGAGACACATCCTGGAAGAAGGCAACTGACTTTCTTTAACATCTTTATGACTTCTTGTATTCGATTCTCTCAACTTTCACATCGTCACCGATGAGCTGGTAAACATATGTGACCACTGTGGATGCTTGGATGTCCATCAAAACAAAAGATGGTATAATGTTGCTGTGAAGAGACAGACACAAAAAAAGGTAAACGTAAGAATTTCACAAAGGACCATTCAAAAACTTTCAGTTGATGTTTTCCTATTGGCTCAGCATTTTCTTAAATCTAAATCCTGATAAAAAGCATTCTGAATCTCATGAGGGTTCATTTGTATGAAGGCTGTTCCTGCGTAGATTCAAACTAGCCCTTTGTTAATAGTAAGCAGTCTATTTTTGCCATTTTTTTAAAGGACCCATGTCCTACATTTTCTTTAATTTAATTTATTTTTATGGCATATGTGTGGGTTTATATACAAAAACAGTCCAAATTAATTTTTACATGATAATCTGCTTTTATCCCTTAAAATTAAACAGGCTGCTTTTGTTACTGTGCCTTTAATATGTTGCTGATATATGTTAATGACCTCCGTTCTGACTGGCTGCTCTGTATTGTGCCTAATTTGAAAAGCAGTCCAGCCTGAAACACTCTTTACAGCTTCTGAGTAAATGGGTGGGGCTAAACTGCTGACAGCTGAATAGGCGAATGAATATAAACATGTTGGTTTTCATGACATCATAAAAGCAGTAAATTTAAAACTGACTGTTTAGGCAGCTTAGGCTACGTTCACATTACCAGGCTGAAGTGGCATGAATCTGATTTTTTTGCCCTAATGTGGCTCAGATCTGATGTTTTCAAAGCTGTGTGGACGCAAATCTGATCTTTTCAAATCCGACCTGAGTCACTTTCATATGTGGTCCTAGATCGGATACATATCCAAATCGTGGCCATGCGACCTTAATGTGACGCTCAGATCGGAATTCATGTGCTTTTTTTCCCACTTTGCGTGACCATCATTCAGCGTTACCATGGCAGCAGCACCGAACAGAAGTTAAAGCCTGTAAACGGTGGAAAAGCAGCTCATCTCACCTTTTTCTCCTTCGTCTGGCTCTAATAATGAAGCTGAGAGCTGATCAGAGTTAATTATCTTCACAGCGAAGCTCGTTCTGCTCGTTAGTTTGTTTGCTGATGATGCACGTGACGCATGTTCATTCACATTAATGACAGATTTGGATCACTTACCGAAACGAGTGTGAACCATTGTGTCAGAGAGATTGGATTTGAGCAAAAAAATCAGATTTGAGCAATGAGGCTTGTGATGTGAACGTAGCCTTGGTTTCCACAAATGGACTGAATGAACTGGGGCTTGAATAGTGCATTTTGAAACCTTAAACTACATCAACTCTAGGATATATCAGTTTTCCATGATATGGGCCCTTTAACAGACCACCATAACATAGCCAAAGTGCTATTCTCGATGCTCCTACAGCTGCAGCAACAAAGTGAAGGAGACGAATGTCAGTGCTGTACCTCTCCAGTGCGTTATAGGCTCCTGTGGCTGAGCCAGGGTTGATGTAGAATTTGTTCTCATTCTCAAAAGCCTCAAACTTGTGCGTGTGGCCGGAGATGAGGATGTCCACATCCAGCTGCCTCTGAAGCAGAGCGAGGCTGGCCATGTCACCCCACGGAATCACCTGGTGCCCATGGATCAGCCCAATCTTAAACTGTCCCACAGTCACCACCTTCTGCTCTGGGTAATTCAGGTTCTGTCATTCAGAGAGAAAAAAGCCTGGTTAAGCATAACTGTCTCAGTACTGCAATACTTCTTTAAATAATTTGTAAGCAAAATTCTCAAAGGTTGTCTAATGTATATACAAACAAAAATGGATTAAAAAAAGGATATAAAATCGTAATTTCAATGAGCCTAAAATGTTGCCATGCTGCACTTCATAGTATTAGATAACACTGCAAATAACACAGTAAATGCTAGATTCAGACCGGAACGGCCTTTTAAATAATGCAATATCTAATTGTTGTCATTGTGCCTATTTTTAAATGAAAAGACAATTATCTAACAAAGCTAAAATGTGTGGAAAGGTGTAGGTTACACATATTGTTATGCACATATGCGTATGGCACATCTGATGTGCAACTTTAATTAAGGCGAGGGGCTTTGTGTCACAGCTGCTAGAGAGCACGGTTTAACCCCGGGGTGTCAAACTCAACCACTAAAAGGGCCATATTAAAAAATCTCAACAAATCTGTGGGACAGCTGTGTGTTATTTTATTTTTACTTAACACTTTGCCATCTGACCTCCAACTGACAATTGTTCAGTCAAAATATGCCAAAACTACAGCAGCAAAAAATAGTTTCAAATATTCAAACGATTCAAAAATAATTTTAAATAAAAACTATTGGCTTAATATAAAACAACAGGTTACATTAGCTGTTAAATTCACCAAAACTAGACACCTGGCATCTTTTGGTGGTGCTGTCCCCATAGATCATTGCTGGTGAGAGCACACATTACGTTGCAGTGCATGTTGGGAACTGTAGTGCAGCTCATGGTGAAATGGGCTAATATTAATAGCAAATTAGACTAATTTTGCAGGCTGAATAGGATTGTGCCACAGACCTGATTTGGCCCACAGGCCTTGTGTTTGACACATGGGGTTTAACCCTTTAAATGTGCAGGACCTGACAGCAGGTTTATGCTTCCATTTCTCAGGGTTACAGAGCACTCAAGTTGTGTTGTCATTCTGTAGTCTGAGTCACGCCCATGTTGGGAACTCTAGTTGCGAACTGAACTGGCACCATAAGACTGACCAGCAAGCTTGGTCCAGTGTGGCAGTTATGTTGCTTTGGCAGTAGCAGAATACATTTGGACTCGCTGGTGGAGTTATATTATAGTGTTCAAGTTTAATAATATACTTTTAATTGCATACTTCCTCTTGTAGTGAGGGGACCTGCATAAACAACCAACCTCATCAAAGTCGCCTCTGACGATGTGCACGTCTCCAGCCAGTGTTTTCAGGTAGTCATAGCTCTCCTTAGTACAGAGGTTGCCAGTGCAGAGGATGTGCTGAATCTTGCCAGGTACCAGCAGCTTCTTGAACTTGGCCGGTAAGGTGTTGCATCGGTGTGGAATGTGCAGGTCACCTAATACAAGGACCAACTGGGGATATACAAGGAAGATGTAGTTAGAACGTCTCCATGAGCATCTTACAGCATTTCTGGTTGGCTGATAAAACTGCTGGTTTAAATATGTTTACATGGCCATAATGATTTAAGTTAAAAGTGATCAACTGTGATCATTCAAAATGATGTCTGTCTATAAAGGATGTGGGTTAAAGTAAATTCATATATATATCGCTGTTAAATCAAAATTATGTCAGAACTAACAAAATAATATGTGAGTAGTCACACTTACTCATATCATCAGGTTCACACAAACACAAGCATTTCTCTTTTATTAAATGAAAACAATACAATCCTACATAGAATAGTTTATTGTAGGCGCTGGAGATCTACCTCCCAGCACAGTTTGTTCCAACCTTCATCTAACACACTGTCCATCTTTACCCAACACTCATGCATCTCATCCAGCCAATCACACACTTCTGAAGAAGCTAATCAGCTGAAGGAAGAGGGGCAGATTGTGGTTGAAACTACACTTTGCAGGAAGGTAGATCTCCAAGACCAGGGTTGGTGACTATTGGTTTGCAGCACACCTTGTTTTCAACATGCCTCATTCACTGAACAGTAACTGGAAAGAGGCCTTCAAGTATTAGGTCTATAGGTAAACCTATTCCACCTGAGTGTCAGTGTGCGACAGGGATGAGAGGAGTTTACCAAGCGTGTCCCAGGACATCTTTACATGTGTTTCCTACACAAGCAGCACTCACACTAGATCCAACAGCCCAGAGAGAGCAGGGTTACTACGAGAGCCGTCCCATTAGTCTGCAATAGAAGCCTCCAAAAAGCAGTGTGGGGAGTGAAGGGGAACTTACTCTGTGACCAGCCTGAATACAACGCAGTTGATTGGAGACAGGATGGGAGACAGGATGGGGTGCAGTGGGTGAGCAGGAGGAAGAGGAGGAGGAGGAGGAGGAGGAGGAGGAGTGGTGGGGGAAGGACATTGAGAGATCAAAATGATGCATAATCACAAATAAAGGAAAAACAATACAAGACGATGTGAGACAGAAGGAAACTGAAATGTTATGTGGATAAAATTAACATTAAATGAATCATTCAAACACAAATGGTGGTGGTTAATAAAAGGTTAGCAGCAATTGGGTTAGTGTGAAGCCCAGGTGCTTAAGTGTTGATAACTGTGTTCAAATTAGGCTACAATCCATAATAAGTGATGAGTGAAATGTAAAATGCTTCAGACTGAAGGGGTCAATAAAATGAGCACAATTACTACCAAATTTAGGTGTCAAGTTCATCAAACCTAACCCAACCAGTGAAGTTTCATATTAAATATAAAGATCTAAACAGTTCCAACATGTTCTCTGATTTGTGGCAGTGGAGGAAAAGCCTGGCTCAGCCAATCATGTCATTTTAGTCAGAGCATGACACTATTCTGATATTAGTATTGTATTGTATGGATTACTTTCTTCTGTTGTTCTCTGGCCAACTTTCTTTTTCTATAATAAGCTCGATCACCACTTTCTTGGCCTGACCCACCTAAATCAAA